CAGAGAATCTGGTTGGATCACGTGCTTGTTCAGTCCCAGTCCAACTGGCCTTGGTGAACTCTCATTAGATCAGTCCCCTTGTATCAGTGGGTGATCGCACCCCTCGCAGTCCTGATTTCCTTTTTCATGTTCTTCCTCCTTCTGCTCCTCATTTGGACTTTGGGGGGGGGGGCTCAGTCCCGTACTCCAATGTGGGTCTCTGTCTGTATCGCCATCCATCGTTGGATGAAGGTTCCCTCTGGTCTTGCCTTCTTTGCTCACGTTCTCTTTCCTTCTGCTTCTCGTTTGTACCTAGGGAGTTAAGTCCAGTGTTCCAATATGGGTCTCTGTCTCTATCTCCATCCATCGCCAGATGAAGGTTCTATGGTGATAAGCAAAATATTCATCAGTATGGTTATAGGCCAAGGACGGTTCAGGCACCCTCTCCTCTGTCCAGAGAACAATCTGGGGATCTCTCCTTGGACCTGGGATCCCATTTATAATCAAGTCTCTTGTAAACCCTAAAATGACTCCCTCAGTTGAGATATATTCTTCCCTGATCCCATATCCATCCTTCCTCCCTGCCCCCATCCCAGTCTCCCGAGCTTTCCCCATTCTTCCCCTACTCCCTTCTCTCTAACCCTCCTCCCTTCCAACAACCCTCCCACCTCCCCCATGCACCTGAGGTTACCTGGGACTCTTGTCTATTTCCAGTCTCCAGGAGGATAACTACATGATTTTCTTCAGGTTCACCTTCTTATTTAGCTTCTTATTTAGTTTTTGATTTTAGTGGGATGGCTTTGATTTTCTCTTCTTTTAATTTAATGTTAGCTGTTGGCTTGCTGTATTGTTGGCTTTATTATATTTAGGAATGAACCTTGTATCCCTAATCTCTCCAAGACCTCTATCATATAGGGGTGTTGAATTTTGTCAAATGTTTTTTCAGCATCTAATGAAATAATCATATATTTTTTCCTTCAGTTTATTTATATGATGGATTACATTGATAGATTTTCGTATGTTGAATCAGCCCTGCCTCTCTGGGATGAAGCCTACTTGATCATAATGTATAATTTTTTGGATGTGTTCTTAGATTCTGTTTGCCAGTATTTTATTGAGAATTTTTGCTCGATTTTCGTGAGTGAGATTGGTCTGGAATTCTATATCTTGGTCGAGTCTTTGTGTGGTTTTGGTATCAGGGTAACTGTAGTTTCATACAAATAGTTTGGCAATGACTCTTCTGTTTCTATTTTGTGATACACCTTAAAGAGTATAGGTAGCAGCTCTCCTTTGAATTTTTGGTAAAATTCTGCATTAAATCCATCTAGTCCTGAGGTTTTTTTGTTTTGTTTTGGTTTGGTTTTTTTGGGGTTGGGAGGTTTATTATGACTGCTTCTATTTTCCTCACGACTAGTAGGTCTTTTTACATTGTTTACCTGGTCTTGAATTAATTTTGCCATATTGTATTTATCTTAGAACAAGTCCATTTCTTTTACATTTTCCATCTTTGTGGCATATAGGCCTTTGTAATAAGACCTAATGATTCTCCGAATTTCCTCAGTATCTGTTATTATGTCCCCCCTTTCATTTCTGATTTTGTTAATTTGCGCTTTCTCTCTCTGCCTTTTGATTAGTTTGGATAGGGGTTTATCAATCTTGTTGATTTTCGCAAAGAACCAGCTCCTTGTTTCATTCATTCTTTGGATTGTTGTCTGTGTTTCTATTTTATTGATTTCAGCCCTCAGTTTGATTATTTCCAGTCTTCTACTCCTCCTGAGTGAGTGTGCTTCTTTTTTTTTTTAGAGCTTTCAGCTGTGCTATTAAGGCTCTAATGTGAGCTTTCTCCATTTTTTTAATGTGGGCACTGAGAGCTATGAACTTTCCTCTTAGCACTGCTTTCATAGTGTCACATAGGTGTGGGTATATTGTGTCTTTATTTTCATTGAATTCAAGGAAGTCTTTAATTTCTGTCTTTATTTCTTCCCAGATCCAGGGGTGGTTCAGTAGTTGACTTTAGTTTCCTTGAGTTTGTAGGCTTTCTGTGAGTAGAATTGTTGTTAAATTCTAACTATATTCCATGGTGATTCGATAAGACACAGGTTTTGTATCTGTGGAAGTTTGCTTTGTTACTGAGTATGTGATCAATGGTTGAGAAGGTTTCATGACATGCTGAGAAGAATGTATATTCTCTCCTATTTGGGTGAAATGTTCTATAGATGTCTGTTAAGTCCATTTGATTCAATACCTCCATTATTTTTTTTATTTCTCTGTTATGTTTCTGTCTGATTGACCTGTCCATTGGTGAGAGAGGAGTGTTGAAGTCTCCTACTACTTGTGTGTGGGGTTTGATGTGTGCTTTGCGTTCAAGTAATTTTTCTTTTACATATGTGGGTGCTTTTATATTAGGGGCATAGATATTCAGGATTGAGACTTCATCCTGATGAGTTGTTCCAGTTATGAGTATAAAGTGTCTATCTCCATCTCTTCTGATTAATTTTAGTTTGAAGTCAATTTTGTTAAATATTAGTATAGCCACACCTGCTTGTTTCTTAGATCTGTTTGATTGAAAAACCTTTTCCCAACCCTCTACTCTGAGTAGCTGTCTGTCTTTGTGGTTCTTGTTCCTTCATAGGAATATCTTCCTTAGGTTGGGAAAGTTTTCTTCAATAATTTTGGTGAATATATTTTCTGGGCCTTTGAGTTATAATTCTTCTCCTTCTTGTAGCCCTATTATTCATAGATTTGGTCTTTTCATGCTGTCCCAGATTGCCTGGATGTTTTGTGTTAAGAATTTGTTGGATTTGCTTTGGGTTTTTTTGATCAATGAGTTTATTTCCTCTATAGTATCTTCTATCTCTTGTATTCTATTGGTTATACTTTTCTCTGTAGTCCATGTTCATTTACCCAGATTTTCCATATCCAGCCATCCCTCAGTTTGTGTTTTCTTCATTACCTCCATTTCAGTTTTCAAGTCTTGATCTGTTTCCATTATCTGTCTCATTGCTTTTTCTTGGTTTCCTAGGGTATCTTTGAGGGATTTATTTATTTCTTCATACTTATTGTTATTCTTCTCATCCATTTCTTTAAGGGAGTTATTCAATTCCTCTTTAAGGGATTCTATAACTTTCATAATGTTACGTTTAAAGTCTATTTCTTCTATGTCTTCTGGATTAGGGTGTTCAAGTCTTCCTTTTGTATGTTTGCCGGATTCTGGTGTCATAATATAGTTTTTCAAATTGTTGGAGGAATTCTTGTACTGGTGCCTGCCCATCACTTCATTCAAATGCCCTCTGGAAGGATGGATCTTCTGGCACAGGATCTAGGCCTCTTGCTGGCCAGAGACCTCACAGGCAAAAGGGCACGCTTGCTGGGTGCAGGCTCAGCGGGACAAAGAAACTCCTGCAACAGTTGCCCTCACCACTTTGTCCCCAGACCCTCAGCCCTGAAGCAGGCTGAGTTTGAGGAATCCTATGACCTCACAGATGGAAAGGGATGCTTTGGGGGCAAGCTGAGCTCCCTTTCCCAGGCATCCAACAGGCAGCCAGTTGGGTACACACTCATCCCTCCAGAAGGATGGATCTTCTGGTACAGGATCCGAACAACTTGCTGGCCAGGGCACACTTGCTGGTTGCAGGCTCAGTGGGACAAAGAAAGTCCTGCAGCAGTTGCCCTCACCACTTTGACCCCAGACCCTCAGCCCCGAAGCAGGCTGGGTTGGGGAATCTTATGACCCTCGCAGATGCAGAGCGGTGCTTGGGGCGAAAGCCCCAACTTTTGCCCATATCATCCTACACCTATGCTATGTTTATAGCAGAATTATTTGTACCAGTCAGAACCTGGAAAAAACCTGAAAGACCCCCGAAGAGAGTCTTCCTTCTGGAGAGACCCTTCCCAAGGATCAGCGAGAACACCGTTGCGGATGCAAACAGCAAGAGCTTTATTTTCAGATACACAGGCACCTGGGGCGGCAGAGTCTCTCGGAAGACTTGCGCGCCCTCAGGCTGTGGTAAGGGATTTTTATAAGGGCAGAGAGCAAAAAGCGCGGTTACAGAAGCAGATGCCTTGGTTACAGGGATTTCATTGGACAGCTTAATTTAGCCAGGTTAAATTGGGGAGAAATTCCCCCTTGATACATGGACCCCGGTTAGGGCTGAGTTGGCCCTTTCATAGCTGGCACTTCCCATTCCTGCCTTGCCTCCACGGCTGACCACAGATATCCTGTTTTGCTACCGACAGTCTGTAATCCTGTTTTGCAATGTATGACTGTCCTCTGTCTGAATTCCCCAAAAGTACAAGCCTTGCATAAAATGGCGTTATTTTTAGCTGCGGCAGCAATTTGAGCAATTTGGGTTGGGGTCTTTCATTCCCCCATATCTCTTGTTAATTGGAATGGAATCTTTCATTCCTTTGGAGGGGTTGCAGTCAGAAGTCTGAATATATTGGTTCAGTTGTCTGATATTGCAGGGTCAATATGAATGCCTGCATCACTGCCAGTCTGTCTTTTACAAACTGTACCAGCCGGTTTAAAATGCAAGGGCCAAACAAGAAAATTAAAAGAATGATAATCATGGGGCCCATAATTGTGGAGATCAGGGTGGTGACCCACGGAGACCTGTTGTACCATCCCTCGTACCATCCCTGTTGGGATTCAACTATTTGCTGTCTATTTTTGAGTCTTTCTCTTAGCTTGGTCATACTGTCTCTTACTAATCCAGTATGGTCTGCATAAAAGCAACATTCCTCTTTAAGGGCCGCACATAACCCTCCTTCTTTTAAGAATAGGAGATCCAGCCCCCTTCTGTTTTGTAAGACAACCTCCAAGAGGGACGTTAAGGATTTTTCAAGGGCACTTATGGACTCTTCCAAGGCCTGGATGTCCGTATTCATGGCTAGTTGTAGTTGTCTGAATTGTCTGGTCTCAGTTAAAGCTATTGCCCCCGTCCCTATTCGAGCAGCCATTCCCCCTACAGTAATTCCTCCTAGTAAAAGGGCCACAGTTATGGACACCGGTTCCGTACGATATCTGGGCCTCCTTTCGTAGTGGCTGTAAAAGTCTTCAGATTTATGATAAATTACCTTAGGCCATAATTCTATCAAGACACAGTAATCATTAAATTTGTCAAGTACTGCGGCTGAAATACATGGTGTTAGCCCGGTGCTACATGCCCAATATGTCCCAGTAGGGGCTACCAAATAATAAAATCCTGTGGAGGTTAATTTATCTATTTTTCTGCATAACCTTTGATGGCTGGGGGGAACAGCCCCTATACAATATCCTTCCCCTGAAACTTCTGATAAGGTCAGTCTATGCCGGGGTATAGAGGTACATTGGGAGGGGGCCTTGGTGTGGTTGGTATAGTTGCCCATGATAGCTATCCCTTCATAATATGGGGGCCCTGAGACCAAACAAAGCCAGCAATCTTGTGTCTTGTCAGGATTAGTGTAATTGAGGGCTAAGTAGGTTCCCTCCATTAGATTTAATAGGCGGTCTCCCGTCCCTTCCTGAATTAAGGCAGCTGTGGGGATGGGAGTTGAGCCATGAGTCCTAGGTGGACTGGGCATAACAAGTGGTGCATTGTGATCAATTGACAGTTCCTTATTTTCCTGTACAGATGGGAGCCGCTGATTTGTCAAAACTTGATTAGGGCCGATAGGTATGGCCGCTGTCTTTACCTTAAGTTGTATTTTGAATATCACCCCTTTATCTGTCCCTGACATATGCCAGCGGAGCCCCCAGGTATAGCCTTTTTGCCATTCCAGGGCTTGTTTACCCTTGTCAGTAAATGTAATGTTAAGGGGCAGCAAAGTGGTTCCTGCCCTATTTTTAACCCAGCCTCTCTTGACAATAATTTTGTCTCAGGAGGAGGAGGGATTCCAGTAGGCATCCCCAGTGGTTTCGCATGTCCACTGAGCACAAAAATATTGTTCATACCCGCCACAAGCATATGCTTTGTCTCTGCTTCTATCATCCTTTGGACATACATAGAAATCTAATGAAGCTAGCCTGTCTTTAGCCCAATTGTCCCTGCATCCGGGGGAAGTTTGCATAGGCCCTCCTGATGAGCTGACCTCTGTGGCCGCACGCTTAGCGCGTGGCAGGTTGTCCTCAGAGTTGGTAGGGTCCTCGATGGGGACATCCCAGGTGTCTAAACCAGCTGCTAATTGACAAAAATCTGGGGTCAGGGGCGGCCACCAGGTATTGGGGGCATATTGGCCAGTTTTCTTCCAGACCATCTCGCCGGTCTGGGAGATGACCCGCCAGGTTAATAAGTAGACAGTGTGGGGGCCCTCTCCCTGTGTCCCCATAGGTCCTAGGATTAATAGGAAAAACCCGATCATCTTAAACATTAGTTGCAAACCAGTCTTATCTTTAGGGGATTTTGGGTACGCTGGACCTTCCATTTCTTTTCCTGATCTGGTGTCTGCTGTCCCGGGCTGGCGGCTTTTACATGTGAAGCATGTATCCAGGTTGCTATCCCATCGACTTTAAGCACCGTAGGGGTGGTCAATAGTACGGTATAGGGTCCCTTCCAGCGGGGCTCGAGGTTCTTGGTTTGGTGTCTGCGAACCCAGACAGAGTCCCCGATCTGGAACAGGTGGGGGATCGCAGGTCTGTCCAGCTGTTCTTGGTAGGCAGCGGCCAGTGGTTTCCAAATCTCCTTCTGGACAAGCTGGAGTGCCTGTAAGTGGGCTTCAAGAGAAGGGCTGTTAGCATAATCAGCAATGGTGTCATCAAAGAAATTAATCATTGGTGGTGGTGCCCCATAGATTATTTCAAATGGGGTTAATCCATGGGGGCCCGGAGTGTTCCAGACCCTGTATAAGGCCAGGGGCAGTAGGAGTAGCCAGTCTCTAGAGCCAGTTGCGAGCGTCAATTTGGACAAAGTCTCCTTTATTGTTCTATTTGTATGTTCTACTTGACCTGAGCTCTGGGGTCTGTAAGCACAATGTAATTTCCAATCAATCCCCAATAGCTTAGCCACCAGCTGACTTACCTGGGAGACGAAAGCAGGCCCATTATCTGACCCCAAGACTTGGGGCATCCCATATCTGGGGAAGATCTCTTCCAGCAATTTCTTGGTGACTATTTTGGCTGTCTCATGTTTGGTAGGGAAAGCTTCCACCCATCCGGAAAAGGTATCTATGAATACTAGCAAGTATTTATAGCCATATAGTCCTGGCTTTATTTCTGTAAAGTCAATTTCCCAGTGAATACCTGGTCGGTATCCCCGCATGCGGACTCCGATTTCAACCTTTGCCCTTCCGGCATTTACCTGTGCACAGGCCTTGCAAGAATCGGTTACTTGTTGTAAGATGACATCCTTTCCGAGCAGGTGGTAAATGTTTTCTTCCCTATCCAAGAGAGCTTTCATTTTTCGGCGACTGAGGTGGGTCAATTTATGCAGGTAGGATATTAATTCAAAAGTTTGTCCGATGGGCATTACTGGCTTTCCTGCATAGACCCAGCGTCCTTTTGTGGAGTCAAAGGATGCCCCCAAGGTTTTTAGTAAATCAGTGTCCTCCTTAGTGTATCGGAACAAGCCATGGCTTAGAGTTTCAGGGGAGGCTTCTGCCTCTGGTTGGAGGGGAAAGGCTTGGGAGGCTATCGAGGTCAGGCCTTTTGCAGCCTCCCAGGCCGCTGTATTCGCTAGTCTATTTCCGCTTGCCTCTGGGGCATCTCCTTTTTGATGCCCCGGGCAATGAATGATGCTCAGTTTTCGGGGCAAAAATAAGGCCTTAAGTAAGGCCAAAATCTCAGCTTTGTTTTTAATTTCCCTCCCCTCTGAGGTGAGCAGTCCTCTTCTCCGATAGATTTCCCCATGAATATGGGCAGTGGTGAAAGCATATCGGCTGTCTGTATAGACATTTAGTCTCTTGTCTTTCGCCATCTGGAGTGCCTGGGTCAAAGCAATAAGTTCAGCCCTTTGAGCTGAGGTCCCTGGTGGGAGGGCCTCTGCCCAAATTACCTCGGTTTTGGTGGTCACCGCCGCCCCCACCTTTCTGGCTCTATCCTCCATGAAGCTGCTCCCGTCTGTGTACCAGGTGAAGTCCGCATCTGAGAGGGACTGGTCCATGAGGTCTGGCCTGGTTCCATGCGCTTCCGCCAGGATCTGCAGACAGTCGTGTTGGTCTGGTCCTTCCGGCAGTGGAAGCAGGGTGGCGGGGTTGAGTGCCAATGTTGGGCCGAACCGCACTCGGTCAGTGTCTAGGAGCATTGCCTGATAGTGGGTCATGCGTGCGTTGGACAGCCAGTGGTCTGGAGGCTGTTTAATCAGAGCCTCTACCGCATGGGGTGCCAGGATAGTCAGTGGCTGTCCCAAGGTCAGTTTACCAGCGTCCTTTGTTAGGATCGCTATGGCTGCCACCATGCGGAGACAAGGGGGCCATCCTGAGGCCACAGGGTCCAACTTTTTGGAGAGGTATGCTATAGGCCGTCTCCAGGGTCCCAGTCTTTGGACTAGGACTCCTTTGGCGTAGCCCCGACTCTCATCCACAAACAATTTGAACGGTTTGGTCAGGTCTGGGAGGCCCAAAGCCGGTGAGGCCAACAAAGTTTTCTTAATGTTCATATAGGCTTCTTGTTGGGCCTCCCCCCAGGTAAAGAGTGTCCCTTGTTTGGTAAGCGGGTAAAGGGGGGCTGCTAATTCTGCGAACCCGGGGATCCAAAGGCGACAGTATCCAGTGGTCCCCAGGAATTCCCGCAGCTGACTGGGTCCCTTGGGGACGGGGATGTTCAGGATGGCCTGCTTACGTGCCTCAGTCAGCCATCTCTGTCCCTCCTGGAGTCGATACCCTAGGTATATGACTTGTTGTTGACAAATCTGGGCTTTCTTTGCAGAGGCCCGATAACCAAGAGTTCCTAAGGTTCTTAGTAAAGCAGAGGTCCCCTCCCTGCATTCAGCTTCTGTTTTTGCTGCCAACAATAAGTCATCAACATATTGTAGCAGGATCAAGTCTGGGTGCTGAATTCTGAAGTCAGCCAGATCCCTGTGTAGGGCCTCATCAAAGAGGGTGGGGCTGTTTTTAAACCCCTGTGGGAGCCTGGTCCATGTCAATTGCCCAGAAAGCCCCATTTCTGGGTCCTTCCATTCGAAGGCAAAGATGGGCTGGCTACCTGGGTGTAATCTTAAGCAAAAGAAAGCATCCTTGAGATCCAGTACCGTGTACCAGCTATGGGAGGGTGGAAGTCCACTCAGTAGATTGTAGGGGTTGGGGACCGTGGGGTGAATGTCTTCCACCCACCTATTGACCTCTCTCAAGTCCTGCACCGGCCTATAATCGCCCGTGCCGGGTTTCTTGACAGGGAGGAGAGGAGTGTTCCATGGTGACCGGCAAGGAATCAGAACCCCTTGATCCAGGAGTCTTTTAATGTGTGGCCTAATTCCTTGGTAGGCTTCTTGGGACATGGGATATTGCTTAATTGACACGGGGGTAGCCGTGGTCTTTAAAGCGATGATCAAAGGGGGTTGCCAAATTGCCAAGCCCATGCCCCCGGTTTCGGCCCAAGCCTGGGGAAATTCTTTTAGCCAAAACGTGGTGGTCAATTTTTGGGGTTCCTCATGTTCTCCTGGCTCATAAAGCTTGTATTCATCTTCCAAATTGAGGGTTAGGACATGGGGGGCTCCCCTTGGGGGCCTGTAACGTGAGCCCCTGCTTCCTCAAAATGTATTTGTGCTCTCAATTTAGTGAGAAGATCTCTGCCCAATAGCGGGTAGGGGCAATCAGGCACATGCAAAAAGGAATGAGTCACCTTACCAGTAGCCAGTAGCACTTTCTGGTCCGTAGTCCATCGGTAACGTTTTCCTCCGGTGGCTCCCTGGACCCAAGCTGACCGGTCACTCAGTGGCCCCGTAGGCTGGGTCAACACTGAGTGTTGAGCGCCGGTGTCCACGAGGAAGGTGACCGGATGCCCCCCAACATCAAGGGTTATCCTGGGTTCGGGGGGGGCTCCTGACCCCGACTTCCCTAGTCTTCTTCCAGGGACAAGAGGGAGGCCTGAGGCCGGGGTTTGCGGGGTCCTTTAGGGCGCTTTGGGCAATCTCTGGCCCAATGGCCTTTTTCTTTGCAATATGCGCATTGATCGCGGTCCAATCTGGGCCCCTTTTTGTCTCCCTCCTGTCTATCCTGCCGCTGTCCTGAGACTACGGTGGCTAGCAACCTGCTCATTTCCTTATTCCTCTTACAGTCCCTAATATCTTCTCTTTTCTCTGCTTCCTTTCTAAGTCTCTCGTCTCTCTCTTCTTGAGTCTCCCTCTTGTTAAATATCTGCTCTGCTTCCTTAAGTAAATTCTGCAAGGTGCTTTCCTTGAGGTTGTCCATCCTTTCTAATTTCTTTCTAATATCTGGTGCTGATTGCCAAATAAAAGACATGGCAAGGTTACATCCAGGATCCTCGGGATCATAGGGAGTATATATACGGTAAGCTTCCTTGAGTCACTCTAGGAAGGTGGAGGGGGACTCCTCAAAACCCTGCATGACCTGCTTTACCTGAGCCAAATTGGTGGGTCGTCTGGCAGCCCCATGGAGACCCGCTATGAGCAACTGGCGATAGAGACGTAGGTGGTTCCTACCTTCAATTGTGGTGAAATCCCAATTTGGGCGTTCCAAGGGGAAAGCAGCATCGATTTCATTCGGCAGCTGCATGGGACAGCCATTGTCACCCGGTACCCTCTTACGAGCCTCCAGAAAGACTCGCTGCTTTTCCTCGCTGGTTAATAAAGCCTGTAATAATTGTTGGCAATCATCCCAGGTGGGCTGGTGAGTGACCAAAATAGATTCAATAAGAGAGGTTAGCATGGTGGGGTCCTTGGAAAAGGGAGGGTTATTATGTTTCCAGTTATAAAGATCGGAGGCTGAGAATGGCCAGTATTGAGGTTGGCCATTTGGCCCTAACCGGAGGGGGAAAGCCTGTGAGGTGGAATCTGGGGGAGGTTCCCGGCGTCCGCGCAGTCGTCCAGCCATTGGGGATGTGGCTGGGGGTGCGGGGTCCGGGGCCGCCGCAGTCGGGGCGGCTTCCTCTGGTGGAGCGGGTCCTTGGTATGGCGGGGGTTGTTCGTCCAATAGGTCCATTAATAATTCATCTCCAGGAGGCAGGACCATCCTTGCCATTGGGGTCCTTTTGTTTTTCCCTCCAGGCTGCAAAGGCTTGGTGTGAACCGGGTAAAGAGAAGATTGAGTATGTGGTTTAGCCGGGGTCGGGAGGGGGGGAGGAGGAAGGGTAGGGGCAGAAGGTTCTTTCAAGAATGGCTTAGGGAGAACAAAAGGTTTGACCCAAGGAGGTGGGTCGTAGGCCAAGGCTTCCCAGGTCACAATGTAGGCCACCTGATCGGGGTGCCCATGTGGGCCTGGGTTCATCACCTTGGCTTTTACCTGTAAAATAACATCAAGGTTAAAGGTTCCATCTCGTGGCCAGCCGACGTTGAAAGTTGGCCATTCAGAGGAACAGAAAATGACCCATTTCTTTTTATGGACCTCCACGGACTGGTTATTAGCCGTGTCCTGAACATCTCTCCAGTGCTGTAAGGTGAGACTCAAGGGGGTAGTTATGGATTGCCCCATAATTTCCAATGAAATTGCCGTAGACGTGAAACAGACAAAAAGGACGCAGAGACAAACACAGACAATTTTCGCAGCGCGGCTCCGGCGCAAAACCAAAAGCAAAAACTCAGATGGAGACGTAGATGAAGGTCCGGATCCCTTGCCTCCCAGAAGGATCACGTACCCCTCAGACAAAGGTGGGGCTCCGAAGAGTCCGATCCGGGGTACGGATTCCGACAGATGGGCCCTGGAATATCGGGCCCCAGACACCCTTGGAACGTCTTCCAGGGTTGCGGGGGAGAAGTCCGAGTTTGTCAACTCCTTCTCTATCCCGCCAAATACAAGACACCCAGCTGAGGTATACAGAACGAAGCATAGTCGACAAACAGACAATCAGACGTGACAAAAATAACAGGCTGGCCAGCTTACCTCCTGAAGGTGGGTCGGTGGTCCCTGGGTGGGGGTCTCCAGTTCCCCGTACGGGCCACCAAATGAAAGACCCCCGAAGAGAGTCTTCCTTCTGGAGAGACCCTTCCCAAGGATCAGGAAGAACACCGTTGCGGATGCAAACAGCAAGAGGTTTATTTTCAGATACACAGGCACCTGGGGCGGCAGAGTCTCTCGGAAGACTTGCGCGCCCTCAGGCTGTGGTAAGGGATTTTTATAAGGGCAGAGAGCAAAAAGTGCGGTTACAGAAGCAGATGCCTTGGTTACAGGGATTTCATTGGACAGCTTAATTTAGCCAGGTTAAATTGGGGAGAAATTCCCCCTTGATACATTGTCCCCGGTTAGGGCTGAGTTGGCCCTTTCATAGCTGGCACTTCCCATTCCTGCCTTGCCTCCACGGCTGACCACAGATATCCTGTTTTGCTACCGACAGTCTGTAATCCTGTTTTGCAATGTATGACTGTCCTCTGTCTGAATTCCCCAAAAGTACAAGCCTTGCATAAAATGGCGTTATTTTTAGCTGCGGCAGCAATTTGAGCAATTTGGGTTGGGGTCTTTCAAACCTAGATGCCCCTCAATGGAAGAATGGATAAAGAAAGTGTGAAATATATACACATTAGAGGACTACTCAGTGGTAAAAAATAATGTTTTGAATTTTGAATGCAAATAGATGGAAATAGAAAACACTATCCTGAATGAGTTAACCCAGACCCAAAAAAGATGAAAATGGTATATTACTCACTCATTAGTGGACTCTAGCCATAAACAAAGGAGTTAAGCCTATAGTTCGCAAGCCTAGAGAAGCCAAATAACAAGGTGAACCCAAAGAAAAACATATATAGATCCTCCTGGAAACTTGAAACAAACAAGATATATTCAAATTCTTTACTAGTCTTTCCTCCTCATTTACTTTAGCAGGAAAACTTAAGGGGAAAACTAAGCTCTTAAACTGAAAAAATATATGTGTTACATTGTGTGAGAGTTTTCCTGGGGAGACAGTACACACATCTTTTTATGTCAAGTACTGAGACCAACAATACATAAAATATTGGTTACATGAGAGTCCAACTTGGGGAACCAAGAAACTCGTCAGGGTTCAGTAGCTGGGATGATTCAAATGTTGTTGTATCCCCAGAAAAACCATCTTAGCATGAATAAAGACTCATGAATGCTGTAGCCTGGGAGTTCTCTGAGAGATTTATACACAGCGTTTCAAGTCGGAGAATCTCCTCCAGGACATTAAAGTGGTCAGACAATGCTCTCATCAGAAGCTGTTTACTGCCATCATAAGCTCGAGGAGGGCCTTTGTGAATATTGATTCAACAGTTCAGGATTTGTAGGGTTGTTTACTCACTGAGTCTCAGGAACTCCTTCAATGAAACAATGTTTCTATTCAGAGGAACTGCTACACTCCACTCCTTTGATGACTTTTGCTTTCCCTCCACCCTCTTTCTGTGATAGTCTCAGCCTTAGAGTCAGTGGTAAGAATTCCTATGTATGGCACAGTCACAGTGACTTCTTCTTAAGGACTATGAGTGATTAGAAGTCTCTGAAGCCCATCATGTACTGTAAATTTAAGTTTTCTTCCAGGACAAGTAGCAAATGACAGCAATAGCATAAGTGCAAATATTTAGAAGGTAGCATGCCAAAACCATTTATCAAGATGACAAAAGACCCACCACTAGGGTCAATAATCCTTCTAGCCACAAAACATTGTCCTGGATTATATCAACAGATGAGGTCCTACTGTAGAACTCAATAGGAGTGGTCTTTAATCAGAAAGCTGTAGTTAGGGGTACTCAGAATAGTTGTGTCATGACTGCCAAAGCTTGTGCTATCTTGTAAATATCATGTTCCACCTCGAAAATTAGAAAAGTAGGTACCTGCTGAATGGGGACCTACCTCTCTAGTGAACATTGTCCTCTTTTCTGGTGAATTGGGGATCATGCACTTAAAGCCCTCAGCCTCCATTCTCTTATTATTGCTTTTCCACTCCATTTTTTTTCTCTACTATTTGACACTGACCATAGGTTGTAAGGTTTTAGAGCCCAGGAAAGGTTCTTTAGCATAGATTTAACTTTCATTGTCTTTCTCTTGCATCCCACAAACCATAGGAAATGTCAGGCTAATACCTTGCTCTGTTTCATCCTCTGATACACCTTATGTACCTGTCCAAGCAGTAGTGGTCAGTGTGGAGGACACTAACCACGCTGTGGAATATTATTTTTAGGTGTATTTCACTTTTTCCTACTGTTTTTGCTTACAATGCATACACATGTTTCATTTGTTTGATTAAATAAAATTTACCTTTACCTGTTTGATTGTTTTTTCTTGGTTTCCCAGGGTATCATTCACGGATTTACTCATTTCTTTAAACTTTTTGTTACACTTCTCATCCAATTCTTTAAGGGAGTTATTCATATCCTGTTTAAGGGACTCTATTGCTTTCATAATGGCACTTTTTTCCACTTCTTCTGGATTAAGGTGTTCAAGTCCTTCTATTGTAGGGTCATAGGGATCTGGTGTTTTCATGTTGTTTTTCAGATTGTTGGAGGAGGTCTTGCCTTGGCGTCTGCCCATCTCTTCCTTCAAATGCTCTGTATTGGATCTTCTGGTACCAGGTCAGGTTCCCTTGTTGGGCAGGGACTTCACTGACAGAAGGCCTACCTTTCCTCAGGCAGGCTTTTAAAACACAGGAACTGCCTCCTGCCGGGATGCGCCTACATCCCAGGCCCAGCACACAAGGCAGCTGAGCTGGGGTAATTTTATGACCCCAGGGGGAAGGGAGAAATATAGGAAGATGTACCTAGGGAAAGCTCAGGGATTGGGATGGGGAGGAGGGAGGAAAGATGGATATGGGATCAGGGAAGTATATATCTCAACTAAGGGAGCCATTTTAGGGTTCACAAAAAACTTGATTATAAAGGGGATCCCAGGTCCAAGGAGAGATCCCCAGATTGTTCTCTGGACAGAGGAGAGGGTGCCTGAACTGGCCTTGGCACGTAACCATACTGATGAATATTTTGCATATCACCATAGAACCTTAATCTGACGATGGATGGAGATTGAGACAGAGACCTACATTGGAACACTGGACTTAACTCCCTAGGTCCAAACGATAAGCAGAAGGAAAGAGAACATGAGCAAAGAAGGCAAGACCAGAGGGAACCTTCACCTGTTGATGGATGGAGATTGAGACAGAGACCCACATTAGAGCACTGGATTGAGTCCCCAAGGTCTAAATGAGGAGCAGAAGGAGGGAGAACATGAACAAGAAAGGCAGGACCGTGAGGAGGAGTGCGTTCACCCCCTGATACAAGGGGACTGATCTAATGAGAATTCACCGAGGCCAGTTGGACTTGGACTGAATGAGCACTTGATCCAACCAGATTCTCTGAATGTGGCCAGATTCTCTGAATGTGGCTGGCATGGGGTCTTTCTGAAAAGCCATTGACAATGACACTGGGACTTGTTTCCTCTGCATATACTGGAGTTTTGGGTCCAGTCTGTTTGGATACTCATCTTCCTGGATCTGGAGGGAGGAGGAAGGAACTTGAACTTCCCACAGGGCAGGAAACCCTGACTGCCCTGGGGGATAGAGAGGGAGGAGGAAGGGAGTGGGGAGATTGGGAGGGTGTTGGGAGGAGGGGCGGAAATGCAAACTTTTATTAATTAATATACATTCATTTAAAAAAAAGAAGAATGAGACATCACTAAAAAAAAGATTTAACAAGTCAGATATGTGATTCTTTTGTCTCAGGACACTTTCAGAGTTTTGGTCAAAGTCTTCAAAAAATAACTCGTAAAAATTGAATCAATGGTGCTCGCTTCGGCAGCACATATACTAAAATAAGAACGATACAGATAAGATTAGCATGGCCCCTGCACAAGGATGACACGCAAATTCGTATAGCGTTCCATATTTTTAATCCAACAAATTCTCATCACAAAACATCCAGGAAATGTGGGACACAATAAAAAAACCAAATCTTAGAATAATAGGGGTAGAAGAAGGAGAAGAATTGCAAATCAAAGGTCCAGAAAATATATTCAACAAAAGTATAAAAGAAAACTTCTCCAACCAAAAGAATGATATCCCTATGAAGGTTCAAGAAGAATACAGAACACCGAATAGGCTTGATCAAAAAAAAAAAATCCCCTCGCCATATAATAATCAAAATACAAAACATTCAGATTAAAGAGAGAATATTAAGAGCTGCAAAGGAAAAAGATCAAGGAACTTATAAAGATAAATCTATCAGAAATATACCAGACTTCTCTATGGAAACCACGAAAGGCAAAAGGTCCTGGATGGAGGTACTGCAGAAACTAAGAGACCATGGATGCAAGCCCAGACTACTTTACCCAGCCAAGCAATCGTTCACTATCAATGGAGAAAACAAAATATTCCAGGATAAAAACAAATTTAAACAATATGTAGCTACAAATCCAGCCTTACAGAAAGTATTAGAAGGCAAATCACAACCCAAGGAATCCAACATTCCTAACACCACCTACAATAACTCAGTCATCTAGCGACCCTTCACAAGCAGAACTCAAAGAAGGGAAAAACATACACTCCACTACCTCCCCCCCCCCAAAAAATAATAACTGGAGTCAACAACCACTGGTCATCAATATCACTTAATATCAATGGACTCAATTCACCTATAAAAAGGCACAGACTTAGAGATTGGATAATAAAACAGGATCCAACATTCTTCTATTTACAAAAAAAACACCTCAACCTAAAAGACAGATATCTACTCAGAGTAAAGGACTGGGAAAATGTTTTCCAAGCAAACGGACCTAAGAAACAAGCGGGTGTGGCCATTCTAATTTCCAACAAAATTGACTTCAAACTAAAATCTATCAGAAGAGATAGAGATGGACATTTCATACTCATAACAGGAACAATTCATCAGGAGGAAGTCTCAATCCTGAATATCTATTCCCCTAATATAAAGGCACCCATGTATGTAAAAGAAACTCTTCTAGAACTCAAGGCAGTCATCAAACCACACACACTAATAGTAGGAGACTTCAACACACCTCTCTCACCAATGGACAGAACAATCAGACAGAAACCCAACAGAGAAATAAGAGAATTATTGGAGGTATTGAATCAAATGGACTTAAAATATATGTATAAAATATTCCACCCAAATAAAGAATATACCATTTTCTCTGCAGCCCATGGAACCTTCTCAAAAATTGACCACATACTCTGTAACAAAACAAACATCCACAGATATAAAAAAAAATTAGTAACCACCTGTGTCTTGTCAGATCACCATGGATTAAAGTTAGAATTCAACAACAATGCTACCCCCAGGAAGCCAACAAACTCATGGAAGTTGAACTGTCAACTATTCAATCACCACTCAGTCAAGGAAGAAATAAAGAAAGAAATTAAAGTCTTCCTTGAATTTAATGAAAATAAAAACACAACATACTCAAATCTATGGGACACTATGAAAACAGTGCTAAGAGGAAAGTTCATAGCACTAAGTGCCCAATTGAAGAAAACGGAGAAAGCACACATTGGAGACTGA